TAAATCTACATTTAAATGGTCAAGTAATTTATGATAAAGGAGCCAAGACTGTACAATGGGTAAGGACAGTCTCTTCAATAAAAGAAAACACTACTGGGAAAACCAAAGAGCTGCATGCAAAAGAGTGAAACTGACCCTGCTGCACAGCATGCACCGACAGTAACTCAAATGGAATAAACACACGAACATAAGATCAGGAATCAGAGAACTCCTACAGAAAAACACAGGCAGTAAGCTCCTAGCCATCAGTCTTTGCAATGCTTTTTGGATTTAACACCAAAAATCAAGGCAAAAAAGCAAAAATAAAAAAGTAGGACTATGTCAAACTAAAAAGCTTCTGCACAGCAAAAGAAATGACCAAGAAAATGAAAAGGCAACCTACCACATGGGAGAAAGTATTTGCAAATCATGTGTCTGATAAGGGGTTAATGCCCCAAATATACATATACAGTTTAATAGCATAGACACAGTCTGATTATATAAAGTGGGCACAGGATCTGAACAGACATTTCCCAAAGGAGACACACGGATGACCAGCATGTATTTGAAACAAAAGGCACTCAGCATCACTACCACGAGGGAAATGCAAATCAAAACTCCAGTGCAGTATTACCTCACATCTGTTAGAATGACCACTATTTTTCAAAAAAGGAGGTAAGTATTGGTGAGCATGTGTAGAAAAGGGAAACTCTGTGCCCTGTTAGTGACAATGTCAACTGGTGCAGCCGCTGTGGAAAACAGTATGGAGTTCCTCAAAGATTTAAAAACAGAGTTATCACAGGACGCAGCAATCCCACTTCTGGGTGCTGTACCCAAAGGAAACACGAAGACGTGTGTGTCCAGTTCAGTGCGGCACTATGTGCAACAGGAAAGACACCGAGGTAGCTTACGCAGCCCTCATGGACGAACGGATTTAGAAAATGTGATGGGTACATAATGAAATATCATTCTGCCATAAAAAGGAAATCTTGCTATTTGTGACAACCTGGATGGACTGGAGGGAATTGTGCTAAGTAAAATAAGTCAAAGACAAATAGTACGTGCCCTGGTCAGGTGGCTCGGTTGGTTGGAGCGTTGTCCCACATGCCAAAAAGTTGTGGATTTGATTCCGGTCAGGGCACATGCCTGGGTGGCAGGTTCCATCCCTGGTTGGGGGACGCACAAGAGGCAACCGATTGATGTTTCTCACATCAATGTTTTTCTCTCTCCTTCCCTTCCTCTTTAAAATTAACAAACATATCCTCTGGTGATGATTAACAAAAAAACACAAACACTACATGATCTCGCACGTGAAATCTGAAGACCAAAAACAAAGCAAACCAAGCTCACATTGCAGAGAACAGGTTGCTAGTTTCCAGAGGTGGTGGGCGTGGGGGTGGCAGTCGGGGAGGAGTGACGGCAGTCAAAAGGTACACATTTCCAGTAATAAGATAAATAAGTCCTGGAAATGTAATGCACAGCACAGCGGCTACAATCAATACTTCTATACTGTACATATCTGAAAGTTGCTAAGAGAGTACATGTAAAAAGTTTTCATCACAAGATAAAAATCTGACACTGTGCATGGTGGTGGATGTTAAGTAGATTTCCTGTCATCATTGTTTCAAAATCTATACAAATATCGAGCCATTATGTCATACACCTGAAACTAATAATGGCACATGTCAATTATATCTCAATTTAAAAAAAAAAAAACATTCCACCCTGAAGAAGGGCTGCCTGCAGCAAAAATGTAGGCCTGGCTGCTTAGCTGGGGCGTCCTCACCCTCCATCCTCTCCCCGCTTCACGGCTCCCCTCAGCAGCCGCTGCCCTCGCGTCCCTCCGCTGGTCTGCTCGTCCTTCGCACGGTGCACGGCAGCTCTAACACTGTCAGACCCGTGCGTGCCTTCAGGTGCAAAGAAACAGCTTCATTTCGAAAAGCTACTTGTTTTCTAAGCTAATTCATTTATCAAAAAGAAGAGGGAAAGAAACCATAAACACCTTACTCTGGGGTCCAGAAATCTCACACAATTTCCCATGGTTAAAAATGGTTTTAAACCAACATGCTTTATTTTTAAATACTAATAACAAAAAATTCTTCCTCATATATATATGAATGTTTTCAATTTTCATATTAAATTTTGCTTCTCAAGTACCTGCCTTTCTTCATGTGAGTAATATTATGTCTCAACTTTTGAGTTTAATAACTTTTCCTCCAAAACGGCACTTTTCAACCGGTGTGCCACAAGAATTTTTAAAACATGCGACACCTGACTATTTAGTCAGGGGCACTGACCTCTTTTCCCTCAGATTGTCAAATAAAAAAAATAACAACAACCAGCACAACCATAGTCGTTCATTTTGAATGAATCAAAATTATACCTATTTTTGTCAGATAGGCAAAAGTAAGATATTTTTTGGTGTGCTGTAGAATTTCAGTAACTTATGTGTGCCATGATATAAAAAACATTGAAAATTGCTGCTCTAAAAGGTATTATACCACATTCAAAAAATTAAGATTAGAACATCACCTCACTAGTTTCGGTATACCAAGTTGTACAAATCATGTATCTTAAGTTTAAGTCTGTTTCATAAGCACTTTTTAAAAATCATATACATTAAAATTCTTTGAAAAATAACATGTCAGGGTAGCAAAACTGTATTCATACTCATACTGCATATTATCCTCTAATAACTTCTTTGAACACTTACAAGACTGATTTATAAAAAGATTCTAAAGTAATGAGGGTAAGTTTAAATAAATTTCAAAAGTTTTGCTTTCCTTAATTAAAACTTTTAGCAAATAATTTTAAAAGTGCTTTCCAAGTTATTGTCTAGGATTAATATAAAAATAATCTGTGGTTCCATAATTATTGTTTAGAGTGGGTTTAGGTTTTTAAAAATATTTTACATAGTTAGTGTTTGCCACAAGTTTGGGATGTAGCGCAGTCCACACAAAAATCTTTTTGGCGAGGCTACTGCATTCTTTGCTCATTAGATGGCAGCATTAGGCCATATATGAAATCAGGCAAGCCTTTCCGTTCATGCTTCTGTTTGTTTCCTCCTCTTCTCTCATCACACCATCTCGTGGTGTGTTCCGTGGTTGATTCACTAGAAAAGGTAAGATTCCTTGTTGACTAAGAGCAACACAAGTTACAACAGACAGGTGGAAGTATTCTCCTGATGTACAGCAGACCAGACAGCAATTCGCCGTGGCCAGAGTAAAATCCCTCTCTCTCTCTCTCTCTCTCTCTCTCACACACACACACACACACACACACACACACACACACACATGGAACTGCCATGAGAAACAGTTGCATTACTCTTTACCACAACTGATTTTCGACCAGTGTGCTAGAACAACTTTTAAAACACACCATACCTGACTGTTTGGTAAGGGGCACTGACCTAATAATCTAATAAACATATCTGCTAATGAGAAAAGCAAGGCCAATTTCAAAAAGGAAATAAAAGGTAAGTTCAAAAAATAACTTCTAAAACTTATGCATACTTTTAACTAAATTTAAAAATAATTACTGAGCTTCCTCCTGTTAATATAAGTAAATTGTGCTCCTTGTACAGAAACAAAAAAATCAAAGTTGTAATCAACTATATTTCATAAATTGTTAAAATTAACAACAGATTATAAAACATTTTACCATGCGTTCATGTATTGTTTTGTATGACATTTAGTACTTGTATTTTCTGTTATAAACATGACAATTTGTTTATGCAGTCTTATAAAATTGTTGGAAGTTTAGGTTTCTAATTTTCACAATTATAAACAATTCATAAATAATTTTATGCATGTGTGATGATTTCCTTTGCTTTGGCACCTGGAAATATAATCCGTTTACAATCAATGTCCTTATCTAAATCATTACTTAAAATGTTAACTAATAAGGTGACAAAGATGGAGTTTTATGCAACAGGTAAAAGAATGCCATTCAGATTGTATCAATTCATGATCATTGTTCCTTCAACATAGGCCTGTTGTGACCTAATTACATCATCTTCCAACCTAGATTCCCCCCTTTCCCATAGGTATATAGGAGACTCTGTTATATATTTTGCTAATATCCAGCTGCACATTTTCTACACTCTGTCTCACCTGTGTTTCTAGTACTCTATCATAAAAGCCTACGCAGACATCGATTGTTCTAAATGGATTCTCATCGGTTCGCTTTTCTAAGTTTCTCAGAGACAGGTGAGACAAACACAGAGTTGCTCCGAGGAAACTGGAGTAGGGGCACTGCTCCCACAGACAGGATGGAGCTGAGAAGCAGCTGACAACTCTGGGGGACGAGAGAGCAGCAGAACTGTTCATCACAAGGCTCAGGATTACATCATCGTACGCACAGGCACTCTCAGCTTACACGGCTAAGAATAAGTTGAAGGAGAAAAAGTAAAATCGACACAAATAGGTAATGATACAGTGTATCTTATGAATACAACACTTTTCACGTTATTGACTGGTGTAAAAGGCAGCACAGCAGTGCCTGTAATTATCATCCTGTCTCTCCGTCAGTGAGCAGTGGTGAAGAACAGAAGCATTTGCTCGGGTTTCCTGGGCAGGTCTGGACTGGTACAAATCGGAGGTCAGAAGAGTCTTCTGTGAAGAGCCAGACTGAGTAACTAATTGTGCATCCATACGGTCTCTACTGTAACTCCTCAGCCCTGGGGTTGTAGCACAACAGCACCAGGGACAAAATGGAAAGGGACTCAGCCATATTCCAATACAATTCTATTAACTAAACAGGTGTGGAGCTCGGGCCAGGGGGTGCTGGATTTGGTAGGTAGTTTGCCAACCACTAGTGTAAACAATAACAGGTAAATACTGTAAAATGAAACCTACCACTCCTTTTGAATGTGTCCTAAAATTCCAAATGGTGAGCAAGAAAAGAAATATTGTGTAGATTGATGTTACAGGAACTACAGTTTCGTATTCAGTGAACTCAAGACATAGTTGAACCAGTTTTCCTACACACCATCACAAAGCCGAGACCCACTCACTCACCTGTGTGTAATCACCAAAAGGCTGAGAGTACGCAATGCACTTCTCCAAGGTGTGCTGTGGTTCGCTTCCCTGAGAGATGGCGTCCAGGATGCTGCTGGCAATTCCCGTCTTCTGCAGAGTGGTTTTACTTGCAGGGGCTAAAGGCAAAACCAACACATGTATTTTAGTCAGGTCCCTTTATTATAAATTATAAGCAGAGTACAAAACTCATTAATTCAGCATATTTCTGAACACAAATATTAGTTTGCCAATAGATATGTTTGTATTAACTCCAGGGGGGAAAAACACACAGTACATGATATTATAGTACTCGTTTAAAACAACTGAAAATGAGATTTTTTCCCTATAGGTACATAATTTTGGTGCAAACATTGAAAAAATGTATGTCTAACCTCCAAAACAAGGCATAAAAAATGTGAAATAACTACTCTATCAATTTTTAGAGCAGATAAAAATACAGTAGGTATCCTAAAAGCACACTAAATCTTCTTCTGGCTTTAAAAAAGTTAAAAATTAATGTTTAAATCTAAGAGGATACTTCACAAAATAGAGAAAATGCACATTAAAAACAAGATTCACCTTTTATCTCTTTTCATTCAATCCTATTTTTATTCTCAGAGGTGACAGTTTAGAATTTATTTTCCCAGATTTACTCTATGCATTTATACATTCAAATACATACATATAAAAATATATACGTTTAAACAAATAAATCATTTCATGTGTACATTTGCTTTTTCCACTTGTTTCAGTGATCACTCCACTTAGTCATGTAGCTCTCAATTATAAAAATAGTTGCACGGTGTTCCGTCTTATGGTGACCTATTTATTTGACCATCCCCCTCGTAATGAACCTGAAGGCACTTTCTGGTTTTTCACTCTAGAAAACCAATATTCTAGTGAATGTCCCAGTGTACAGACTATACTGCACTTGCGACTTTCTCTTAAACTATGAACATATACTAAAGGAAGGCCTGAGGACAGCCTCCAAAAAAGCAAATGAGAATTCTGCTTCTGTCAATTAGCAGCTCATGTATTTTTAGCGTATCCTGCTAACACTCCAGGTATATTGGGTTACTTAGACACTTAAACCTCTTTTAGAAATATGATTCCATAGGTATAATAAATAATTATAATATAGCCAAATAATTCTTTTGCTCAATTATTTTAAATCATGATTCAATAATAATTCAACAAACTGATATTATAAATAAGGTATTATAAAAGATGTCTTCCTGAAGTGTTAATTTTAGTTGGTCTCTCAATTTAAAGACTGGGGTCATAATTTAGGCTTTAACTGGTCAATATGCACAATTTGCTCCTATTAAGTTAAAAACTGAAGAAAAAGTCATTAAGGAAAGTATCCAATAAAACTCCAAAACATTAATCCCAAGTTTCTCACTTACATGTTAAGCACACACTGGGCAACACGCTTGCCAAGTTCAAGTACGGGTTTTTACTGAGCCGGATTTCTTTCGGCGGTTCTCCCAAGAGTGAAGTCTGATTCTTCGAGGCAGCCTACTTACCAAAAACAAAAGAGTGGGTGCTTAGTAAGGGGTGCGAGAAAATAAAAATGCAGAAAAAGTAGAGAAATACTTATTCTTCAAAAAATCTAGGGTGGTAAAAACTTGTGGACACTAATGTTTGAAGGTATAAAACTGTAAAATATTTCTGGATATTGATTAAAATGATCACATTTTGCTTATTAATTTTTCAATAAGTTAAAGAAAAACATTTAACTGAAAAGAGAATTACAGTCCATCTTGTACAACCTTCTCATCTGACCCAGGAGAGAATTCATCAGCATAAGAAAGACCAAATTCCATACCTTATTTCCAGAAACAAAATTACCAACATTTAAAAAAATGTTAGTAAGTGTTGAGGCCTGGCCTCAAACCCTTTTTTAAAAAATTATATTTTATTGATTATGCTATGATAGTTGTCCTGAATTTCCCCCCTTTGCTCCTTCGTTCCAGCACCTCCCGTCCCTCCGACAATCCCCTCACCATCGTTCACGTCCATGGGGCATGCATGTAAGTTCTGTGCCTACTCCATTTTCTATACCACAGGTGGCAAACACAGGGCCTGCAGGTTGAACCCGGCCCTCCACCTTGTTTTATCCAGCCCAGCACCTTGTTTCTACCAGGCAGCAGTGCCGAGCTCTTACTTAACTGTTACAGGAGTAGTTACATTTATACAGTCCTACAATTACATTCGGCCCTTTGAAGACAACGGTGAGGCTGATGTGACCCCAGTGAAAATGACTTTGACACCCCTGTTCTACACTGTTCTTTACATCCCCATGATTATTCTATAACTACCCATTGATACTTTTTTTAAAAGATTTTATTTATTTTTAAAGAGATGGAAAGGGAGGGAGAAAGAGAAACATCAACGTGTGGTTGCCTCTCACATGGCCCCCACTGGACATGGCCTACAACCCAGGCATGTGCTCTGACTGGGTATCGAACCAGCGACCCTTCGGTTCACAGGTCAGTGCTAAATCCACTGAGCCATACTGGCCAGGGCCTATTTGTACTCCTTAATCCCCTCACCTCTTCACCCATTCCCCCACAACCCCTTCCCATCTGGCAGCCATCGAAACACTCTATCCATGATTCTGTCTCTGTTCTTCTTGTTTGCTTAGTGTTTTTTTTTAATTCCATGGTTGATAGACTTGTAGATTTGTGATTTTTGCCATTTTATTGCTTGTAGTATTGATCTTCTCTTCCTTGAATCCCTTTAATATTTCATATAATAATAGTTTGGTGATGATGAACTCTAGCTTCTTCTTGTTGGGGAAGCTCTTTATCTGCCCTTCTACTCTAAATGACAGTTTTGCTGGGTACAGCAATCTTGGCAACAGGTCCCTGCTTTTCATGGCTTGGGATTTTTCTTGCCAGTCCCTTCTAGCCTGCTAAGTTTCTTTTGAGAAATCATCTGACAGTCTTATTAGAACTCCCCTACAGGAAACTAACTTCTTTTCTCTTGCTGCTTTTAAGATTTTCTTTTTATCTTTAATCTTCGGCATTTTAATTATGATGTGTCTTGGAGTAGGCCTCCTTGCATCCATCCTGTTTGGGATTCTTTGTGCTTCCTAAACTTGTATGTCTATTTCCTTTACCAAATTAGGGAAGTTTTCTTTCATTATTTTTTCAAATAGATTTCCAATTTCTTGCTCTTTCTCTTCTCCTTCTGGCACCCCTAAGATGTGAATGTTGGAATGCTTAAAGTTGTTCCAGAGGCTACTTACACTATCATTTTTTAAAATTCTTTTTACTTCTTCTCCTGATTGGCTGTTTTTTACTCCCTTAGGTTCCAAATCACTAATTTGATTCTTGGCTTCGTTCACTCTACTGTTGTTTCCCTGTAAATTGTTCATTATTTCAATTAGCGAATCCTTGATTTCTGACTGCACCTTTTTTATGCTGCTGAGGTTCTCATTAAGTTCCTTGTAAATTCTTTTTTTAAATATGTTATTGATTATGCTATTACAGTTGTCCCATTTCCCCTCCTCACTCCCCTTCACCCTGCACACCCCCACTCCCATTCCCCCCCTTCTTTAGTTCATGTCCATATTTCATTAAGTTCTTTAGCTTCTACTTTTCCCATACTATTCTTACCCTCCCCCACTGTCTATTTTCTACCTACCATCTATGCTATTTATTCTCTGTACCTCCCCCCGTCACTCCCCTGTTGCTAACCCTCCATTTCTGTGGTTCTGTTCCTGTTCTACTTGTTTGCTTAGTTTGTTTTTCTTTTGGGTATGGTTGCTAATAACTGTGAGTTTGCTGTCCTTTTACTGATCATATATTTTATCTTCTTATTCTTAGGTAAGTCCCTTTAACATTTCATATAATAAAAGCTTGGTGATGATGAACTCCTTGAACTTGACCTTATCTGAGAAGCACTTTATCTGCCCCTCTATTCTAAATGAAAGCTTTGCTGGATAGAGCAATCTTGGATGTAGGTCCCTGCCTTTCATGACTTGGAATAGTTCTTTCCAGCCCCTTCTTGCCTGTAAGATCTCTTTTGAGAAATCAGCTGACAGTCTGATGGGAACTCCTTTGAAGATAACTGTCTCCTTATCTCTTATTGCTTCTAGGATTCTCTCCTTCATTTTAATCTTGGCTAATGTAATGATGATGTGCCTTGGTGTGTTCCTCCTTGGGTCCAACTTCTTTGGGACTCTCTGAGCTTCCTGGATTTCCTGGAAGTCTATTTCCTCTGCCAGATTGGGGAAGTTCTCCTTTATTATTTGTTCAAATAAGTTTTCCACTTGTGGCTGTTCCTCTTCCCCTTCTAGTACTCTTATAATTCGGATGTTGGAGCGTTTGAAGATGCCCTGGAGGTTCCTAAGCCCCTCCTCATTTTTTTGAATTCTTGTTTCTTCACTCTTTTCTGTTTGGTTGTCTCTTTCTTCCTTCTGGTCCACTCCATTGATTTGAGTTCCAGTTTCCTTCTCATCACTATTGGTTCCCTGTACATTTTTCTTTACTTCATTTAGCATAGCCTTCAATTTTCCATCTAATTTTCAACCAAATTCAACCAATTCTGTGAGCATCCTGATCACCAGTGGTTTGAACTGTGCATCTGATAGGCTGGCTATCTCTTCATCATTTAGTTGTATTTTTTTTCTGAAGCTTAGATCTGTTCTTTTGTTTGGGCCATTTTTTCGTTTTGATGTGCCTGTTACACACTGAGGGGCGGAGCCTTACCTGTTCACCAGGGAGGGTCAACCCACTCACTGGGTTGTGACGGTTTGTGGGGGAGGGGTCCAAGAGGGAACAATGGCACTTGCTCCATGCTCTGCTGGGTTTCAGTCACTCCCCCTGCTACCCACAAGCAAACGGGGCCCTTCTGGTGCTGGTTCCCGGTGGGTGGGCTTGTGTACATTCTAGGGCCCCATGGGTCTCTCCACCAAGCTCTCCTGTGAGGCTGGGAGTCTCTCCTGGCACCTCAACCCCCACAAGTGTTTTCAATCAGTGGTTTGAGGCTTTATTTCCCTGTGCTGGGAGCCTGGGCTGCACAGTCTGTCACGCTCCCCAGTTTCATCTGGTTCATCTATGCGTGAATGTGGGACCCTCTGATCCACCAGTCGCCTTGTGTTCCTTGCCCCTCCACAATCTCCTGCCTCACTGGGTCCACCAGCCGCCACTTTTTTTGCCATGACTCATCTCTGCCCAGCCGCTTGACTCCACCTCTCCTACTGGTCTGGATGAATGTTTCTTCTTTTAACTCCTTGGTTGTTGGACTTCCATAGAATTCAATTTTCTGTCAGTACTGGGGTTTTTTTTTGTTTGTTTCTAAATTTTTGTTGTTCTTATTTTGGTTGTGCCAGGAGGCACATTGTGCCTACCTACGCCTCCATCTTGGCCTGAAGTTCCTTGAATATTCTTATAACCAGTGTTTCGAACTCTGCATGTGATAGGTTGCTTATCTCCATTCCATTTACCTCTTTTTCTGGAGTTTTCGTATTTCATTTGGGCCATGTATTTTTATCTCCTCATTTTGGCAGCCTCCCTGTGTTTCTTTCTACGTATTAGGTAGAGCTGCTCCGCCCCCCTGCCTTGGTTGTGTGGCCTAATGTAGTAGGTGTCCTGTAGGGCTGGGTCCTCTAGGTGCACCCTTTGTGTGGGCTGTGTACACTCACTCTGCTCTTTAGTTGAGCCTTGGTTGCTATTGGCTGATCAATGGGAGGGTTTTACCGAGGCCAGTTAGCTGCAAGGATTGGCTGTGACCACTGACCACCAGGAGTAGGGTGCTGATTCTCCAACATGGTCTGTAGCTGTCCACTGGGTGGCACTGGCTCTGGGGGTTCTCGGGTGGTGCAGGCCAATATCAACCCCGGTCGCCCACGTTTTGCCCGGGGCTACCCTGCCTGAGCTATAAAGCAATCTGAGATGGATGCTATTTGTGCTTGGCTTGGAGATTCCTGGGAGAAGCCACACTGTAAATCTAGCTGGCTCCTGCTAGTGCCAGACCTGGGGCTCACTGAGGCCAGCTGATGCTTGTTTGTGAGGATCTAGGAAGATGTGAAGCATTAGCCAAGACCAGCCATTCATATAGAAAAGCAATTTGGGTGCGCCCCTAAGTTTGGTGGGGCAGAGTCTTGGGACCTCTAAGGTGAGTCACATAGTGTTAGCCAGGTTGATGGAGTCTTAGATACGGCACCAGCTTGCTGGCTCTGTGGGGGGAGGGTTTAGAAAAGGGACAATGACCTCTGCTCACTTTGATGCCAAACACTTCAGTTTCTCCCTGCATGACACTAGTGTCTTTCAAGCTGCTACTTCAGTGCTGGAGCTCAGAGGGAGTTCAACCTGAGTAGGTGAGTCCATGTATTAGTTAAAAGGAACTGTTGGGGCTCCAGCAGTCTCTTCCCCTGACTCAATCCCCACTGGTTTTTGCAGCCAAAAGTTGCAGGGACTTATCTTCCTGGCACTGGAAACCTGGGTTATGTGCCTGGTATGAGGCTTGGACTCTATGCTCCCGAAATATCCCTCCTGAATTTTTATCTA